GTGAATTTAATATACTCTGACTGTGTGTTCAACAACTCGAAACATCTGTCGATTTCTCCTTGCGTTGAACAAATGGCCAAGCAGTCATCTATATATCTACAGTAGAGTAACGGACCGAGGTCGATTACTGGCGCTTCCACCTTAGACATGAATGAAATGGCAAGGCTTGGTGCCAGTCGTTGTCCCATTGCCAGCCCTCTCATTTATGCATAATACCTCCCGGACCATCTGAAGATTGAGCAGTGTAGGCACTCCTTTAAGAGTGTCATCAACTGCTGAATCGAGAAGCCATACATGTTTATTGCTCCTTCGTGTTGTATAAGGAGCTCGTTAATGGCTTGACAAGCGGAGTCATTCGACACATTCGTATACAGGGTAGTGACGTCGAAGGACTCCACCACGTACGCGCTGTTGGGTCGCGCGTTACGTAGACAATCCAGGAGCATTTGAGTGTTCGTTAGATGAGCTGGAATGTACTTCAACAACTGAGTAAGTATTAGGGTTATTAACCACGTTATCCTATCCATCGGCCCGTCTACGCAGCTAATGATAGGTTTAACCTTAAATAACGATGGATCGGTAGACACGAGATCATCGCTGGATACTAACTTAAGTCAATTTTGAAATGACAGATAACTGATGGTTTTAACCCTGCCGCTCTTGCCACTTTAACCCATTCGTTGTTTAGCTTTCGGTATTGACTTTTAAATTCCTTCTCAGACGATGGACGATTAAGGGAAGCATCTTTAAGGTGCTTTTCCGTCATCTCAACATCTGATGGGGAATTACAACGAACTCTCCATCCTTATCACTAACCGATAGTCTTATGTTTTTTGATCTTATCAGCTCTCGTACCTCCCGCATATCACGTTTTTGCATTTCAGTGAGGTTGAAGCAGTATATTTTAGCGCGATAGTGATTAAGGACTTTGAAAGTTTCATTCGTAAACATCCGAAATTTAACATCAACTTCATTAATGGTGGTATTTCAACTTCAACTTCAACTTTTCTTGTTGTCTAAAGAACGGTTGAAGAAATGGTGGTGCTGGTATTGCCCCTACTTTTTGCTGTTCGCGCCTATTTTGCGCTTCATCCCTAGCTTTTTTGCGAAGTCTACCTTGAAGTTCATGTAAACTACATGCGACTCTACCCAAGGTTACCTTAGAAATGGGTTCAGATGGTGAGAAACTCGGTCCCAATTCTAATAACGAGCGCGCACCGTCAGGGAGGGTTATGCCTCCTAGCACGCTCAACTTTGAATTTTTTTGCACATTATTTATCCTACCGTGAAACGTTTGATCTTCGTTGGCGGTGTTTCTGTGTGCTCTTGAAGCCGTGTTATGCGATTTACTCAAAAGGTCTTCGAATTTTCTCCGCAAAGTTACGTTAGCATTAGACCTAATAGAGTTGCAAATCAACACTGACCCACCCACTATTCTCCTCCAGAGGCGGTCCTCCAAATACTGAGCACAAAGACAGGTGTGCAGTAGTTGCAATTCGATGTGCAGTACTTGGTGGTCATCCTCTGGCACTCCGCACCCTTCGTGTAGTCGTTTTCTTTTTATGAATTTCGGGACGACTTGGTGTTTTATGCAGCGGCGGAGAAAGTGTATCGCCTGTCCAGCTAAGACGATCTTTTGTCTTAGTGACAGTGCTTCTTTTGCAAGTCGGAAGTATCTTGCTGGTACAACTTGTAGTAACTCCCAAGTCCGACTTTCTATTAACTTCGGAACTGATTGAATATATATCTATATCTATAATATATATCGGCATGAATATCGTTCTACTTCTCTTCAGCAAACTCGAGGTGCTATTTTATTTCATTTATTTTATTATTTACTGCCTACTCTTTGTAACGGCAGGGCATATATTGCGAAATATAACTTTAATGATTCTGATGGCAAAAAATCGATAGAACTAGTTGAGAGATAGGTGAAACGAATGACCCGCATGGTGTGGTGGTGAACGCGTTCCTCCCCGGAAAGGACAGTAGCGCCTTCGTTTCCCACCGCAGACACCTGCGGTCCGGAGTTTTGCAAATATCTCAGCATCATTAAAGGAAATTTCTTGTTTAACCCCTGTTTTGCTCATCACAGTTTTCACATATTGTGGTAAATTCTTTGCCAGTAAACGTGTGAAAAAGACTGATTTAGTGTGCATCGTGTACATTAGTAGGGAATCATGTGTTTATTGTTGTTCCTCAGACAAACAAGCACTGCGGAGCATGACTTGCATTACATGCGACGTCGCATCCTGCAACAATAAAACGACAGTGCCAGTCGATTAGCAGCGGTACTTGAAGAAGACAAGAGACGGATTTGAATGGGAATCAAGTATACAGAATGGAGCTGAACATGTGAGAGAATTCGATTTGCAAGTAGGATCGCCCACCGATCTCAGGTCCCACTCGCTTATCTTGCCTTTTCCGTTCACATTAATCACCTCGCCAGATGAAGATAATGGCTTCATAGCATTGTCCGGGTTGAAGCTAATAACCACACTCCTCATATTTATGCTGTCTAGCTGGAAACATAAGCACTAATTACAACTGAATAATTATGAGCATTAGTCGTATATTGGTACATCTTTGTATGGCAGGTATGAATACCTTTGGAATGGAAAATTTAGACCCTTGTATGGATTGTGTTTCAAATCGAACAAATAGGAAAGTTCAACATATCAGGAAAGATTAGCTGCTTAGAGTTGAGAGATATTCTGGCCTATAAGACAACCGAAGTGACAATTTATAGTTCTGAACTTCAACTCCTATGCATGAACGAATGTAATTCAGAGCGATCAGCACTGCTAATTTAAATCATATGCTAAATGCCGTCGTTTCTTACCCCATGATTTTTACTTATTAGAAAAACTGAAGTAAGTCATCAAGTCATCAGTAAATAGAAGGGATTCTCTAACTCCAAGCATTTCCACTTCGGCCTATTTCTACCAATAGGATTTTCTCCATCGTTTTTCTGTACAGATATGCTTGAAGGTCTTGAAAAAGGAAAAGAACGAACTTGAAAATATTTTTGCAATGGATTTTCGAAATTTCCTCTACACTAACGACTGTGACATAACTCTTACTCTACTATAGAATCCTTCGTGATTATTAGTGTAATTATATACTTAATCTGGGTTCGAAAAAACGTGATACTTGTACAGACTATCGGTCGACAGCTTACAGAGTTATGCAGGTAAAATTAAATAAAGGTAATTTTAACTTATTATTTACTGCCTACTCTTTTTTTTTTGACCCGCGTGGTGTGGTGGTAAACGCGCTACTCCCCGGAAAGGACAATAGCGCGTTCGTTCCCCACAGCACACACCTGCGGTCCGGAGTTTTGCAAATATCTCAGCATCATTGAAGTTAAATAAAGGTAGTTATCCATTTCGATAAAAAACCGAAAAGGTTCGGAAGTAATAAAAAAAACTATAACAACAGGAATAAGCAATGTTTTATTGTTCGCGAATGATCATTTGTAACCTGCAGCGATATGCAGCAGTAAAAACTCAAAAACGGGAGTTAACGCTTTCTTTCAACGAATAACACCCAATATGAAATCGCTCTAGATTACCTCAACAATAGTACTCATCTGGGCCTTGTTCATTTAGTCTGGATTTTTATTTAATAGCTCTTCTCTCCAAAATAGATTTACATTATGTGGAAACGTTCGATGTCCAGTATTCGTTAACAAACAACTTTTAATTGATTGCCTCTACGCGTGCTCTCTTAGACTCCTGCTGGATTAAAAAAAAAACCATCGAATACCTCGTCGAACCGACATCACGAATCCGACCCTCAACCACAGCTAGCAATTTGTAAACATGCCAAAAGAATTTGAATCACTCACACTTTCTTTTGCCTTTTTAGCTTCCTCCAAATCACTAGGTAGGCCGTTAGTTATAATCACCAGCACCTTTCGATCTGTCGCTTTATTCTACAAAAAAGGAATACTGCAGATGGTGTGAGAGCCTCCTTAATATATTACTTACCTTAAAAAACTCATACACCTGTTGCAAAGCAGGTGCAAGCTTTTTGCCTTGTCCCTTAGGCCATTCATATTCATATTCACTAAAAATATTTCGACTGATGGTAAAATCTACTTAAGACTATAACAAGACTACTACTATAACAAGTAATAAACCGTGTCTACGCATAGTTGCATGGACTAAGTGTATTGACACTCACAAATGCGCTCGCAAGTGCGGAACTACTCCTTCAGGAGTTCGATAGCGACCGCTTGTGACGCTATCGGCGTACAAGAAGAGTTTCATCCTTGAGTTGGTAACAAGTCCTATGTAAGCGAAAACGCGAAGTAAATGTTTAATCTAAAGTGTTGATACATGAGTCTTTAGTAATTCCAGATTATCTACATCTTTGCGGTTTTTTTCTCCGAGTTTTTCATTTGTGGTAGATTTCTGGACTATTAAACCTCTCCATCAGTTGTAAAAGCCGTAAATTAAAGTGAAAAAAGCCTCAAAAATAACTCAAAAACTTGAAATTCAGAACTTAGACTCAAAGTTAAACTTAAGAGTCAGGTAGTTAGCAGAAAATATAGATGACAATCGCAAATAAAGCTACTATACGTAGGGCGCGTGGTGCAGTGGTCGGACGTTTCCTACGATAAACATGGGATCGATCCCCGCAGCACAGACCCATCAAGCCCTCTATCCCTTCGGCAAATTGGTGCCAGATTTGTCTCGGAGTATAGCAGCACGGAGGTCAGCTCGATACATCGATAGGCCACCACGAGGCATTGTAAAGGCAAGTTATGCATTCAATCACCTCCAAACGATGCTTGTTGAAGTCGAGTGCATGGCGCAACCCTCATGGATTGATAAACGCCGAGGGCTCTATTCTTCATTCTTTATCCGTCTCATTCTCTATCGGACTTGTAAAAAACCTTTCAACGATGTTCCTTCTTAGTCTTCTACACATTTCCCGCTACGCTGACTACGACAGTGTTGAATTGAATGAAATAGTAAGGCGGCTATTCGCCGAAAACTTTCACCAAGCCATGAAATCAGTGGAAGCAAAGCGGTTTCTCTTGTTATACACACTGTCTCTTCCTGCCTTGAAATATCCGAGCAGCACATAACGATTATTTATTATATCTCAGGCCATAGCCGTTGTTTCACAAATAATACCCTACCGTGAAAACTTGTAAAAGGGAGTAAATAAAAAGCCAACATTGTAAATTTCAACTATAACCTCAGCTTAACTACGTTCAATGCCGATTTGGGCTACCCAGATCAATCTCGATGACGGGTGATTGCTGATTACAGTGATCGATAGAACTAGCTGAGAGACAGGCGAAACGGTGACCCACGTGGTGTTGTGGTTAACGCGTTAATCCCCGGAAAGCACAATAGTGCGTTCGTTTCCCACCGCAGACACCTGCGGTCCGGAGTTTTGCAAATATCTCAGCATCATTGTGGTTGCTTCATAAATAATACCCTACCATGAAAACTAGTAGAAGGTAGTAAATAAAAAGTCAACAAAACGATTAGCTGATACGCATACAATCATTCACACCGCTTCACAACCTGCACGCACTTACCGCTTCTCTACGGTCCACCATTTCTTTGTTGTTTTCAACAACAATTGCAAATTCGTGGTCATACGGCCTCTGACAATTCACACATTTGGTACCCTAAAAGAATTTCGCCGAATTAATGTAGAAGAAGTCGGTCATTGTACTCAATCATTTGTGGTTTCGCACTAAAAATCCTAACGTGTCAATGCGCGAGAACAATCGGAATGAACACCACAATTTTATCATGTTCGAACTCATTATCATGCTCTCATGCATAGGGAACAACGGTAAGTTTGCTCTTTCGAGTCACTTTATGACTTATAAGACTGCATTTGATACAAATAGCCAACGATAAAGACAAAGGATAAAATTCTCGGCGCAGATAAATCTCTGAGGGATACGCCATGCATTCGACATCATGTAGTATCGTTAGAAGTGCCTGAATGGATATGTGGTTCGTACAATGTCTTGGGGTAGCCTAGCGAGTGTTCCACGTCAATGTTTTTCTCCTCTCTAACAAGTCTAGCACGTCGGTAGCAATACGTCGACACGGAGAAATACAAGACTTGGTGAACTCGGTGAGCACGATGGAACCAAGAAGTGCTTTGTGTTTTACAGGGTCCGTCGAACAACTGCGGTACACATGCTCATGCCGCGTCTGATGATATCAGTGTTTCTTTTACACACCACCTAGTGTTAAACGAAATCTTGAACTCTTGAACGTGAAATCTTCACGAGCAACTATATAGAGGTTTACATCGCAGTAATGGAAAACCCTTTATCGAGAGAACGAACTCATTACTTTTATTAACACTGGTATTTTTTGTGCAGTGCAGCGATTAGAGGTGCCCAGAAATAAACACTGTACGGGTTGCTGGTTCCATCCCGCGCTCTGGACTCATCAAGCCGTTCAACCTTCGGGCGTCGACAATTTGGTAACTGATGCATCGGTAAGCTAGCGGAAGTTGTTGTGCAAGCTACACATGCATTTACGATGACAGATGGATTGCAATGGCTGGCCCATTCCTCAGGAAGTGATCGACGCCGGGCACTTCTTCACTTTTTAACAACATGGTGCTAGCGAAATCATGTGGATAGACAGAAAGTTTTCGATTCTGCGAGTCGGTTATTTACCATAGCTTGAAATAACTTCTTCAGTTCACCTGTTTCCTACTCTTGTCATTTTCGGTTGTAATAAACATGTTCGTATATTTGAGATCCGAGAACGGATTCATGCAAGTGCACGTATCTGTTTTCTTGTCATAGGTAGCATGTTTAGAACACTTCGCAGCTCGATCTTCATCAGTTGCTCTAGATTCCTCTCCTGAAAAGAAATCCATAATAACTAATAATTTCCTCGACCTAAGATTAATGGGAACTAACTCTCGCTTAATCCCCCCCACGACAAAAAATATGATCGTATTCGATAAACCAAGAATGTTGAAATTCCCGCGCAACAATTGAGGACCTTCATTCTTGGTGAGCTAAAAATTACCAATGCTTCAGAAGAACTCTAGTGGCCTTCTGACAAACATTCCTTTGACCTATAAAGCTCAGTGATTTGCTGTCATGACAGTTTGCGGGCATATATTTGTTTATATGATCATATAAACCGATCTTCTTAAGCTGAAGCGAGGTTGGTACAGGTATTCGTTGTCGTCGCTGTCTTTGATGTTGCTGGTCGATGGCTGACGTTTCGGCGACTTCGCCTTCATCAGAGCAGTCGCGCACGTAACATCACGGCTCTGAGGAAGGCAAAGTCGCCGAAACGCCAGCCATCGACCAGCAACATCAAAAGCAGTGACAGCGACAACGAAGACCTATACCAACCTCGCGTCAGCTTAAGAAGATCGGTTTATAAGATCATATAAATAACTATATCAACTATCTATGCCGAGGTTTATAGAAAGTCGGGCTTTCGAGTTTGAGGGCAGTTGTTCACAGTGTACGCCAAAAAAAGCAGTCGAATTAGAGCTGCTCTCTTCCGCCTCACAGTCCGTGGTGACAATTCATAGAAATTTCAAAGTGGTAAAGGAAAATGTCGTATTCGCAAGCATTAATGTTAACAATACAGTGCAATGTGTGAGTAGTTCAAACCGAGAAAGACTGTATCGCATTTTCGAGTTGTCCTCCGGATATAAGAAGCATGTAGCTGCTTGAGGTTTACAAAGAAATATTCTCAGCATGTCATAGACGCCGACCATATGTGCACACGACGAACATCCTGGCGCTGTTCGGTATGTCGACGAGACCTTCTTGGGAGAAGCCGAGCGCGGTCCGTGGTGTGTCAGCGCAGAATCTGTCCGGGAACGTAGGGCGCCAATACTTGTCCTCCCTCGCGCTCTGAAAAACGCGTACCATAAATCACTATCACTCGAATTTGCCCAACTCCACTAAATTACAGTGATTTTTTGCTTACACATCGGAAACGTACAATGGTCGGCTTTGATGCGTTCAACGTGCAAAACAATTTAGCCTTGATTTTCATAATAATACATTCTAAAAATTCCGAGGAAAGAAAAGGTAGCCATGTTTTAGAGGACAATATTACTATTCAGATTCACAACGTTATTTAACATTGCCTCAGCTACTAGCACTATGTAACTCCAAGTGTAGTCCGCGCTCGACGCCGAAAGTTGAAGTGGCTCCTTGTCCATGGAAATTTAGACTTCTACGATAGAGAAATAATAATACTACTAAGGTCCTTAAATTGCTTGCAATCATCTAAGAAGACACCATGCGAAAACTGTAGTTGAATAATACAGGAACTGAAATGTATGGTGAGCAGGTGCACCACCTTCGCTTTACTGATCATATCATCCTAGCAACATTGAGCCAGGCTGAACAATGCTACCCATTTTAAGCAATGCTTGTGGAACGATTGCTAGGACTACTTCGACCGAATATCAAGGAGGCGATGTTCATGAAAAGCAGGTTTGCTTGTGTCCAACGAAAAAAGGGTATCAGAATGCTACGGCTATCTAAATTGAGATGTGAGCATGACAAACGGTTGGATTTCACAGTTGAGCAAGAAAAAGCAAGAAGCGTGTGGAGTTTTCAAGAGCATCGAGGATATAAGAAAGAGAACAAGGAAAGCGCAATTCCGTTCTCCTTCTCTCGTGTCCACCATTGCTCTTGACCGTACGCGATGAAAACGTGGACACTACGTAAGCAGGATGAAAGATCACTAAACGATCTTAGCTTTTTATTTGCTGCCTAATACAATTTTTTCACATAATACCCTGTCAAAAAACTATAGTAGGCAGTAAATAAAAAGTTAAGACTGTGAATTCAACTTCAGCTTTAGCTTAACTGCGTTCAATGCCGATTTGTGCTCCTCAGATCAATAGCGTGGACGTGTGATTGCTGGTGGCAATAGTAGATAGAAAATTATCTGAGACACGCGAAACGAAGGAACCGCATGGTGTAGTGGTGAAAGCTTAAGTCTCCGAAAATGGTAATAGCTCGTTCGTTCCTCACCGCAGATACCTGCGGTCCGGAATTTTGCGAATATCTCAGCATCATCTTGGTTGTAGATCGCTAAACGTTATCGAATGCGCAGACGAGAGCTTGATGTTAGGGCATCCCGTTTCGCGCAATTGAGAAACGTAATACAAGGTATCGACCTATGTCGACGATTGGAGTTCAGAGACGTTGTTTTGCACGCCAAACTGATGAAAATCAGAACGGCCGACACGTGAAGCGTCAAAACAACTCGGGGCAGGAGCTGTTAGCGAGTGAAATACAAGGTGTACGAAATACACAGCAAAAAGGCTGCCAGCCCTATGGTCCGAACTTTCTGAGACGACATTGACAAAAAAATTTGAATGTTTAACGAGTTTCTAGAACGAACACATCCTACTGGCCTTCCACAAGATGGGTTCAAACGTATTGTTACGATCGTTCGAGTCATCGGACAAGCAATGCAAGGGCTGGTTAAGAAAATGATACAGCAAGGTAATTGAAAGACTGATACTAAAAAATATCAGAAATCAGAATGGCTATTATGCTCAGATAATACTGAAAATGAAGAAGTGAAAAAGGCCTATTTCTTGAAAAAAAATACCTTCATTCCACCATTTTTAAGTTCGAAAAAGAAATCATTGCGATATCTTCCAGGATAAGGGCCCTTGGCACATTGTTCATTGTTTTTTGCACCGACTGAATCGATTCTGCTTCCGGGAACGCCCACAATGTTTACCTTTGCCTGAAAAAACAAATCAGGGAGCATTTTTCATCAGCGCGAGAGTTCAGAAACTGAAAACTTTGAAATGAGGATGTTTGAGCTGTTAAATTTTACCGCAAACAGATTTCTCACGCATATTATGAGCCCTGTATGTCCATTGAAAATCATAATCTGCTCAATGCACAACCACCTACTATTCAGTGGCCCTTTTTGTACACAAAATATTACCAGCATCATCTGTATCGCCTGTAGTCCCGTTGATCGACGATTGACTCGAGTGGTCACCAGTAAATCTTCCATTTCTCCCTGTCGAGTGCAAGAGTAGCCCAGTGGGCTCTACTCGCTCTACGGACTCGTCGAGCATCATATCTTTCTACAAGGTTCTTTGTGAAGAACTCTGACCATCGGGTCAGCGGTCTTCCTGCAGTAGCTTTGACATCTCGAGGAATCACTCACTCACCAACGGCTGTTGTCAATTGGTTGTCATTCATACGCATAACTTGTCCGGCCCACCTTATCTTCGATTGTTCGGCATACAGAACAGCATCCATGATTTTTGATCGCTGACGCAGGTCGGAGCTTCGGATCCCTTCCCTTACTTGTGTGAAACGGGATACTCCTAGCATCGGCCTTTCGACTGCGCTTTCAATGACGCTGAGTGATTTTTCATCCTAAACTCCGATGGATACACCAAGCTTTCGACTTCAGCAGCCACGCAAAGGTTATTGAACGATGTACTAAGTCAGTATTGTTGTCCTCTCAGAGAATCTGGTACCAATTCGCCAACGAGAAAAAGTGCAAGACGTGTTGAGTTTAGGACACGGGACTACACGCGCATTTCATGACATCTCCAGGCACTGCAGGACACGCACTCGCTTGCTTCGATATCACATGTACCACCTGCCGTCCCGATCATCGTCTTATGACTTTTGCGGGAGCCAGTAAATCTTTCCTTTCTCTCTGTAGCTGACAGTAGTAACCCAATGGGTTCTGCTCACTCTAGTCACTCGTTGAACATTATGTTCTTCTTTCAAGGTTTTCACGAGGAACTCTTACCATCGGATCTGTGGTCTTCCTTCAACGTGCTTGCCTTGCCGAGGAATCCAGTCACTAACGGCTCTTGTTCCTCAGTTGTCGTTAATGCGCATTACGTGCACTACCCACTTCGTGCTCGACAGTTTGGCGTGTAGAATGCGCTCTTTCATTTTTGATCACTGGCGCAGATCGGAGAAGCTTCGGATCTTTTTTCTTACTTGTGTGACACAGGGTACTCCTGGCATCGTCCTTTCTACTGTACATTCTATGCCTCTAACTAGTCCTTTATGCCACTTAGATAGCGACCACGTCTCTAACGCATAAATTAAGGTAGGAGAAATAGTAGATGCGAAAAGGAGAACACGGAGTCAGGTGTTCTTCCTTTCTTTCTTTCACTTTCTTCACTACATCCTCGATGTTCTTGAAAGCTCCCCAAGCCGCGTTCAACATGTTGATTTCCCGACCTAGATAGGTATAACTGAACCACTTGGAGATACTCGTTCCGTTGAGCGTGAATGAAGCATACGAAACCAATCCGTTCCTCATAAACATCGTTTTTGTGAGATTTAGTCGAAGACCAATCTTTCCATGTTTGCGTGACGTTCTAGAAGGTAGTGGTAAATAATTCTGACCAGATGGTGTCGCCTTGCCTAACTCTCTTTTTGACGTCTGTGTTAATATCGTTGCAGAATGATGACACCTTGGTTGTGAAATTTTTGTACAGCTCACGAAAAATCTTTATGCACTGAGCAGGGACTCGCTAACTATCATGGGCTTTCGTGACTGCTTTTATCTCAGTTGAGTCAAAAGCTTTCCTTAGATAAGTGGCAGTGAGACAGAGCGGTCTCTTGTGCTCTCGCGACACTTCAATGAGCCTTGTTATCGTGTGGATGTGGTCCATCGTACTAAATCCTTTTCGAAACCTTGCTTGCTCACATGGCTGTCCTCCGTCCAGTGTTCTATCAATCCTGTTTAGAATGACTCGAGTGAAAAGTTTGTAGACGACAGACAGCAAGCAGATTGGGCGATAGTTGCCGATATTGTGTAGGTCACCGTTTTTGAACAATAAAACGGTCTTGCTGGTCTTCCACTGAGTAGGGATCTTGCATTCAGACAGGTAACGTGTGAAGAGCCGAGCCAATATGCTTACGAATACACAAACTAAGTGTGTAAATTATGTAAAAGTTCTCAATAGACCTAGCAAAAGACTTTTGGTAGCGTTCCGTCAGACCGCATGTTACACACTGTTCAAACGACTGGTGAGTGGTCCCACTAATCGCAGAAATCGATAACTTCACACGAGAATTCTGGACGGAAATTCAAGAAACATCCGATCTACGGGCCGACGATCGCATACTGAAACTTGGGAATGTTTTAACACTCCTCTACAAAGGTTGCAGAAAAGCCACCGTCGAACAACCGCATTTTCGAAGTAAAAACGTCTTATGAACCAAATGGCAATCGAGAAGTTTTCTTCCAACTGTAGACATGGAACAACAGTTTTTAGACCATGACTCTCATGTTCTTCTCGACTCCAGAGACCAGTGGAAGCAGTTCAAGAATTATGCCAAATAGGAAGTCCCTCGAAAGATGTATGATGACTTGTCATCTTAAGGAAGCAAAGCGCTTCAGTGGTTGACGTTAGCGGCGTATTTTTCGTTGTACATCCGCTTAGACTCTCCTCACGAAATTGAATTCGCCTAATTATTTTAAGGCCTGCTTTCCATCATTGGAGGAAAGTCGGTTGTCATTGCTTGCTATCTAGATATGTTTTGTGGAAAATTTTATGGACTTATCTTGACGAGAAGTCCTCCCACAAAACTATTAAAGTCGCCTTTAGTACAACGACAGCTTCGCATTATTATGAATACAAATGAAAATAGAGAAAAGATTAAATAGGAACATCGCAATGAAAGTGAATATTGACGTTGAGTTACTCTCTGTAGTTTGTCCCTCCCGTAGAGATTCGATTTCCACGAGTGAACACCATCACCGCTGAGCACAAGAATTACCACATAGTGTGGGATGTGTTGCGATCGATCACATGCTCATCAACACGCGATAGAGTCTAATCGACGTTGAGGTTGTCGCATTTTTCTTCATTGACTCAGATCATAGCCATGCCGAACTATAACCTAGTGTGTGGAAGAACGAGTGCAATATGTTACTCGAAGGTCCCAGAAGTTGTGTCAAGGAAGGCCTTTCTTAACCCAAAAACAAATTTTCGGAGTTTTTCAACAAAAAGTAGAGAGCTTTTAAGGGGAAAAAACCTGCATCTAGACATTGCTGCGATATAAATCGAACAAATGCCCATTACCACTACTCGCAGAAGTGAAGCATAAGAGAACAACAACAGGTCTTCAAGGAGGTAAAATTGGAAAAAAGGCAAAGTAAATTGCTTTAGATCAACACAAGTAAACATCACAACACGTGTCTCTGCTCTGTCCGATGGAGGTGGGTAACCTTTTGCCGTTAGGTATAAAGCAAACATATCATTACAAAGGAAAAATTGGAATATCGTCGCTTTAAATAAAATGAGTAGCAAAGATAATGCTCCCAGGATCGACTTTCTATTAACCTCGGTATTGGATTACAAATTCGTTATTGAAGTCGTCAACCATATGCGACTCTGAGCGGCTGTTCTTCCTCGGTGGAAGACAGGTGAAAAAAGCGGCTCTGAAGAAGTTGATTTTGCCGAAACGTCACCAAAGGTTGCGTTGTATGTGTGTTATTATATGGAAGCAAATGTATGCTGTTTAACTACCTCGCGATTGCTGTAAAAAAGAGAACGAAAGATAACGCTCTTCAGCTCCGACCCTTAAATCACTTGAGCATGGGCTATTAGCTTTTCGCAAAAATCGCTGATTTAAGAGAAATCTCAGGAAACATAGGAATGGATAAGAGCAAAACGAAAGCTGAGAACGATGTATTAAATTGCTCACATGACATTTTTATACAGCAAATATAACAGACCTCCTTGAGCATGGCCTTGAAGTCGTTCACATTGTAGAAGTCCAAAGGAGTCGCAGCATAACCGTTTCTGAGTGACTTAAACAGCTCATCATTATCTTTAGAGGAAGCACGAAACCTCATGTATTAATAACAACAGTTCATTTAATAGAACTGAGACTAACTTTAAATGGATGTTTTCATTCAACTAAGCACTGTAGGGGACTGTTATTTATTGGCTGAGCCGATTCTATTGTAATTCATAATTCTGCCCATCACTTATTCACAAGTGCGGCAGACTTTGGCCAGGCTGTCCTCCGGACTCCAGGTAACCAGGATGCCTTAACCAGCAAATCTCTAGAGAATGGAAATCATGCTAGAGCCCGCACAACCAGTAAGGATGGATTATACAAGTATTCAAGTAAGTCCCGCTGACGGGTGATTGCTGATGGCAAAAGATCGATCGATAGAACTAGTTGAGAGACAGGCGGAACGAAGGACGCGCAGGTGGTGAACGCGTTACTCCCCGGAAAGGACAATAGCGTCCGGAGTTTTGCAAATATCTCAGCATCATTAAAGTTATATCCGAGTAAGTATTTATTCACAATGGGAACTGCAAAAATCGTGCAATCCATTCGCACCATTGAATTTTTTTCACGAAATATTTCTTACCAAACAAAGGCAGCTTTAAGAATGGACAACATCATTGAATGTAAAAAGAATGCAGTGAGTGGTAGCACTAGGGTTGGTGATAAAATTGACTACGCTTTCATAGGCGTAGTGCGACATTAAGATTTTTGAGTTTAACAACAACAGTTCGCTTGAAGAGTTGGCATGGAGAAGTTAGGGATTTGCAAAGGGTGGCATAACAACGAGCAACATTTGGAAGAACGCATCAAATGCCTCGAAGTTTCGTGTACATGCAGGGAAGAGGCAGAAAATTTAGTGATAATGGAGAGTTTCTATTGTTGATTGTCTTTAAAGCAGAAGGAAAAATAAGTGAATAGTGCTGAGATGCATGCTGAATCCACGTCCATCAACTACCTACTTCCGGCCTAGGAATCAAACAAACGCGGCTGTGAAATCGTACGTGAAAGTGTAAGTTGGAAAGTCGCATGCGGCAATGAGTTGACCTCAGTCGTTGTTGACATATATTCATTTATAAAAACGAACAGTTAAAGCCTACCAGTTTATCGGTTCGTGCTCATTTGTAGCATTTTGTAAGAAAGCACTTCATCTCTCTCTTAAATCGCAAGACAAACTCTGAGCTGTCAATTCTGATTTTCAGAAGCTGTTGAAATTCGTCGACGAGTTGATATATAGCAAACTGCGAAACTTTCGACAGGATATAAGCTAAGCTTCCAGCAAACAACTGCGAAAGATTATTGTGTGATGTTGTTTTCCATACTCTTTTTCAGAAGGTACTCCTTGCTATTAAGGATGGCTCAGAGGTTATTTCGTCCGACTAGTCGGCGTCCATTTCCGGTAGAATGAACAAACCGATAATATCAATCCAAAACTAGAAATCACTCCAGCATGCCATCAGTCTTCGAAGAGGAAGAAGTAATGATGAAGATGGAGTCAAAATATTGGACGAAAACAAATGACCCACAAACGCGGCTTTTTTTAACTTTCCTTGATGACGGAATCGGCTCAAATTTTTCAGAGCATGCGAAATGTGAAAGCTACTGCATTCGAAATTCTCCTTAAGGCGTTTACCACTATGGAATATGTTCAATTCTAGAACCGAGTACATTCAACTCGAATTGGGCGATCGAATTCGCCCACGACTGAAACGAAACACTGGACATCACTCGAGAGACGATAGCAATTGCGAAGCTCTCCATCGGAAGCCAAATAGTCTTGACTTCACCGTGTTTAACTTTTCATTTACGGTTTATTATCTTTTTTATGGCAGGGTATTTTGCGAAGCACAGCTGTGACGTTGCTGGGATATTTTCAAAACTTAGAACCCTAGACCAGCTTCGAACCCGCGTCTCCACGACTACATTTCGAGGGGCTCAGGTCCTGCAACACTGCATCACATAGGTTCTTGCTTTTCCGTCCTCTCAGGTACTTTTTTCACTTTAACGGTACTATCAGTAATTTTTCCATGCCTTCATTCGTTTATTAATTTTCTAAATTCACAGAATTGGATCCTATACGGTCACTGTGTACAGAAATTAGCACGACACTTATGGCGATTCAGAAAGCACGCAGCGCCTCTTAGTTGTGCAAATTCTTTCCAACATGTTAATAGTAGTGAGAATCATTTACACAGCTTAGACAGCTACTGCTAGAGTTCTTCACCTAAGAAGAAATCGATTATTCTCGATATAATTGTTGACACATGAAGATTTCTTACCTCACATGCTTGATGAAGTCGTTTTCCACCTGCGGAAAATTCGTTGGTCACTTCGAATTCTATCAAGGCTCGCAGTATAATGAATGGACGAGGTTGTTTAGAAGCATCATTGTAGACGAACGATTTGAACCCGAGCTCTTTCATCTTTTCAGTGATGGCCTTCGGATCTGACACAAACGATTAGCTTTATGTGAAGAATTATTGGTTGGCGACAATCACTTCATAAAATTGTGCAAAATGTGTAATGGTTAGATATTCTGTGTAATTCACTGAGCACATGCGAGGTTGTTTTTACACAGCTTATCATTTACTTATATCTATTATTTAGCACATCTATTACACTAGTAGGGGGCATTTAGGTGGTTTCGACTTGTTCAGAGCTTGGAAAGGTCAGATTGACATGCAATATACTCAGTCAAACGCTCTCATGACTTGAACGGAAAACGGAACAAACTCAATTCAAAGATTTCATTCGCGCAATAAACAGCTTGTTTCACTCACCGTTTTGTTCTTTGTAAGTCTTCTAAAGTAAACGCAAGTTACTGTTGGAGACCAACTGCACCGAGTCCTATAGGAGCGAGTAATGTGCTTGGCTCAGGTCAAGAAACCAGAGAACTCTTGCAGTGCATTTTTGTGCTTTTGAAGTTTATCGAAAATATTTTAAGAGTCTTGAGCGCAGATGATTCAGATTCCTATGCGGAGATAGCGACCTTTACTTAAAAAATTTTTCCGTTATGCCCACTGTAATATTGATCCCCAGTGGAAAGTTTTGTTTGACTTTGTCTTTTCCAATTATGTGTTTTTTTTAAGCACGTCTCGATGAGCTTTAGAAGAGATCAGGTGCACCGCAACAGAACTCATTCAATTACCTTCTCTACGATTAGGGCAAATTACGCAGTTTCGTGCTATACGCAGATGCTCATACAAGCGGCTACGAGCTCGCCGACGTCTCACTCTGTAGGACTCCGACGTAAGACGTGCGGGTGGTCCTCAACAGTGACTGCAAGGCATAGGCATATAAAGGACAAAACAGTGAACACTTAGAAGAAGGCATTGGATTTTCCTTCTGCTTGGGACGTTAATCTGTTTGACTGAGTAGACTGCGTATCACTTTGAAAGCTCTGAAAAGAGCGAAAAACGAAGAAACGTTGTTGGTTAATGCAAATTAACATTACAGTAACACTCTTGTGTCTTCTCTTCAAGAAAATAGTGTTTTCTTGAATAATGCTGAGTGATATGCCATGTAAACATGGTCGTCCACTTGTTTCTTTCCGAGGCCAACCAGCCACCAATCCTTCCTTTGTATATTGTACAACTCTGATTAAAACCTTACTTAGATTCATGGAAGGTGCTGTCGACTGCCTCTATAGTAAGGTGCTGAGAACGTTGCAGTACTTTCCACGAATTTCAAGTGGAAACCTCAAACAACTTAACTAGCGTCTTACGACATCCACGAAGAATGCAGAGTCTTCAATTGTCAGTCGAATCTACTCACAAATTCCGCGAACTTCGTGGATGGTGGGTTCGAGACAAGAGACCAAATGAAGGAAGTGCTGTGGTGCGTATAACTTGTAAATTTAGGTCATAGAAACGAATAAACAATCAATTAAACATCAAAATGACTCGTCGAATTCAGTGCATATACTACTGCTAAGTTGACAATCATCTTCCGAGCAATGAATGTGATTCAAAAGTTTTGGCTACAAACCCACAAGGGCTTTGTCTACGTAACGAAGCATACGGCTACTCCAATTTATCGGGGTTTTTTTCGGATTAGTAGATACACAATCAATAGTGATTCAAGAGAAGACTAGTTCTGACGCGAAACACTCTCTGGAAAGTCGTGTACATAAGGAAGAGGCATGATCTAAGAAGAGCTATAATAACTGCACCAATTGCACCATCAACCACAATGGTTTTTCCTGCCCCATAAAAAATACTGAAACTGAATCAATGTTGGCTAACATGAATAAGGCTTAACGCTATATGTCATGAAACATTTCTCTAAAATAGCCATTCAGAAGTAGCCGACGCGAAGCCGTAAGGAAAATTCGACTGCAAACAACTAATAAGTATCGGTCGTCATCGATTGCTGTAATGGGCGTATTCTTTGTGGAAGTCTCAATACATAGCAGTACAAGAACAATTGTCTATGTTTCTGCCGCACACTAAATCAGTGCCTCAACGACTGCTACAAATTTGTGGTTCATTCGAAAAGCGACCACAAGAACAATGAGTGTTAGCTCACAATGAGCGTTTATAGGAGCTGGGCGAGAACACATCACCGGGAGATGGGTCGACTCCATTATAGGAACGACAGTGCCGGAACGGAACGCTGCCACTAAACCCTTGCTGGTGATTATCGCATATTTGTCCGACTTTTCATTTGCGAGACGGCCTTCCATATTGTCCAGTGCTTGTCCTAAAATGAAAACGTTTATTAGGTGTGATGGAAAGTTGCAAAACCTTGAACTAATGTACAGAGAAATAGAACTACGTTCATGAATGTTTTGAATCAATATGATCCACACAGAAGGCTTGTTTGAATGCAGATGTAATCATCGAACATATGACGGACTTCATTTTACACACTCTGACAAAGCAGACTAAGTGAAAGAAGATCTAACTCCAGCAGACCGCTAAATTTTGAAGGATCTCATAGAATTCTCATTGATCTCATCTGGATCTCATAGATCTCATTGCTAATTTAGCATAATATTCATTTGCAAACAAAAACTTGTCTGATCACCTTTGAGTGCGGGAGTTTTCAGGTGTTTCAAATCTTTATCCGTGTTTGCTATCCACAGCATTTTGTAGGACGTGAAGAAAGCTTGAAAAAGGGAGAAAATTAGATTCTACCCTGATTTTCTATCAAATCCCCCGGTTAAAGGCTGCCTTAAATAGTGGCGCAACTCTCTTCGAGAAAAGAAAAAATATCGTTGGAATATGACAGTACCCTATAGGCCATATCTATCAGCGTACTGGGACAGCAATGACGAAAACTTTCGTCCATAGGTCAAAATTTCTTTGTGGCAGTCCTTGTCAACTTTTCACTGACCGTTAGAAATTTGACCGATCCATTTTTCTCCATGCTTCTGTGGGATGGGAGCGTTTTGCGCAGACTGCAAATACATATGGGATTGATATCGCATCCCAGGCTCATAGAGCCTTCCATCTCTCCGGAGTCATCAGATTTACACCAGACTTGTCTCGGCTGACAGCAGCATTGACTCGATACATCGGTATACCACCGGAAGTCACTGTATGGACCAAATATACATTCAATCACCTCTAACGATGAAGTCGAATGCATGAATGCGCTTCCCTCAGCGGCTGACGAACGCCAGCAATTTCATTCCTATCCTTTTATTTAACACCCTGGAAAAAACCTAGTAGGCATCGATCATCGATGTCCATGTGAATGCTAACTTATTTTACCCAAAAACAGCTCTCGCTGCATGCTACGCCGCAGACGCATTGCAGAATTTTGTCCATATTCGAAAACTGTGCGCAGGGCAATATCTCCAGGAAATTTTCTAGACCAGGCAGAATACGTTGGAAGAAATAAGCAAGGATAAGATGGGACGATCATCTAGTGGGAAGAAAAGGCAGCAGTTGTACAAGACCGTCGGAGTGCATCTGGAGTCAAAACAAGCTCGCGGAAGGTCACCAAGAAGATTGGCAGACGTCTTGTTTGCACTTGGGAAGTCAGCTCTCTTCAGAACTGGAATGGAATTCCCGATCCTTACAGATCTCAGGGCACCTAACCGAACAAAGAGGCTTTCGGGGATGGTCACTGCAGTGGAATAGAATTATTGGAAAATGTAATGTCACGACATACAGATATGGAATACCAAAGAATTCCGGTATTTTTTATATCCAATTTTGTTAAACGCCGTTTAGTAACTTGGTGGTTACCGTGGTCATAATTGAAAATTTAGCCATTTATAAATTTGTGTGTTCACTTAGGTGAGGTTAACTTGAGATGAAATGAAACAGGACAAAAACAAAGGGTGACTGATTCAAATGTGTCCAGAAAATTTGTGTTCTAGGATGTGCTGCATTGCTATTAGTAGTCCACACAAAATTTCCTTACTTCAATAACTAACCCCATAAACTCATATTGATCACATTAGCCGTATTTCATAAACTTAATGGTTTCATTTTTTTTACACTCCACTATTAAAAATCTCTTTCTTGGTTAAAGCGATTTCAATTAATTAGATGAACATCTTTGTCGACGGGCTTCCAAACACTCACGCAGGGTGTTTTTTTTAACCCCGATCTAATATTAGGCTCTTTTAGCTTTTATTCACACCTGGATACCAAATTTGATTACGAAAGCACGTCCACTCACCGGCAATCCATTTTTGTTCGAACATACTGTTAACTTTATGGAGTCTTAAATTCTTAGTTCCTGTAACGGTGCAAGCACTGGAGGTGATCTTGAATTGTCCTTCTCTATGGGCAATGAAACATCTATCTCCTATCAGAACTTCGTTTTGAAGGCATTTGTAGTAGACTGCTGAAATACGACCTTGTAAATTCCATGTTTCGCCAATAGAATTCCAAAGCTTGTGGTGTGAGTCTTAGTAAGATTAGTAGGTTCATAAAAGAAAAATGGTTAATTTCAGCTTTTTTATCATAACATAGCTGACACACGGCTTCAACGATTCGGTAAAAGCTAAAAAGAACTCTCGACGCGATCAATCCCGAAGGATGCGTCATGAATTCGACTTCATTTAATATCGATGGAGGTGACTGAATGCATACCTGGTCTTTACAATGACTCACGGTGTCCTACCGATGTATCGAGTGTGCTGCTATCCTCTCAGACAATTCTGGTACCAATTTACCGACCCCGAAGTGATGTAATGCTTGTTGAGCCACGGACGTGGGAGTCGATCCCGTATGTGTTGCAGAACACCTCCGACCCCTGCGCCACACGCCCCCTATTGGTTCGGTAATTGAGAATATTATCTCCAACTGCAAATAAAACTGGTTTAAGCGTATTGAGAAGCATGCCGGTTTATATTCTTTGCAGTCTTCTTCAAAGTCTTATTGATTCTTTTGGAATCTGCCATAACGTGGTTCCGGTTCACCTGTCGTTTTTGTTCATGTTATACAACGGACTGATTTCTTAAGGACTATTCCACTTTTTCTGGAGTATAAAGCTAAGGCTAATCTTCATAGAAGAAAGGCGATGGTTTCATAAAGTACGAAAAGGTAAAGCGATATCGATATTGAACAGATTTCATCTTTCGTTCACAAGGATGTAGTCGATCTGAGTGTGACGTATGTGCTCTACTTCCAGCAGTACTCGGTTTTCTTCGTAAACAGTGAGTAAACGTCTTACAACAAGACCTCGATTTCCATGGCGATGCTCTGACATAACGATCCCAGTTCTACATGCCTGTTTTTGTCACGAAATAGTTTCTCAGGACCTCCAACGAATATTACATGACGTAACCTACTTGATGGAAAGTGCCCCATCATACACCTGCTGGATGATAACGTAGTCGTTCATAATTCTCTAAAGTGGTTTGCACCAACTAGAATAAAATCGAGGTCGTGGCTTTTGAGACTGATCCAAACGTTGTATGCACGTAAACAATAGCAGTCTCCACGGTGTATCGTACATTCGCTTTGCAACTGAGCCCCAATGATAATTTCGTTTTTGACGTCTTTAGTGCCTGTCGAGAGTGTTTGCCTAAAAATCACAACAGCCAACTAGACGATCCAAAGCCTTCATCATAGGTGGTCGACCCTAAGAATTACGGGGAAGTTTTCTCTATACTAGCGAATAGATTTTTTCCGCTGTGATAGCGATTCCTATAACAGCTGCATCTCCTTCATTGACCTGCCACTCGAAGTAGATGTAATAGGTCGAATTTAGTTCATGATTTGAGAGTGTCATACCAAATTGCTTGGGATCGTTGAGAAGTGTGTAAACTTTAGATGCAGTAACAATGAAAGCAATAAATATTAGGGAGAGGTTGCACTTTTAGAAAATGGAGGACATTTCGTGTGGGCAAAAACGACCGTTGTTTTTGAGTTTATCTGCTAACTAAAGACGTTATGGACGACTTGATTTCATACATCGCTCGTATTTGCAGCGAATAATTACGCTTTCAACTTCGAACGGTCATTTATGAACTCATAGCAACCTTGAACTTTTACTTCAACTTTTCCGACTTCGACAAAAGCTACTATGATCCATAGATTTTCTTCTACATGGTAGAAATTTCTTTGTTGTACCAAGATAACACCAAGATAACTCCCTCGTACTCCAAAGTTCACAATTTTTGTTGCTTCCTTGCTAATTTTTCGATTTAGGCCGATAATTGCACGAGATAATGAAGGCGGAGAATGATGGTGCCCCAGAATACAGACTTTTAAAAGCTCCTTCTCCTTGCATTTGCATTAAAAGTTCAAAAGTTTAAGCTTCGTTCTTCTTTTTTCGCAGATATAAATGTTTAGCAAAAATAGGGTTCAAATGACATTTTCGTGAAGCAGTGCATACGCCAAAAGCGATGGAGCAAAGTCAGCCAATTCAAATGATCATTCCTTAGTTCCATGCTATACTAGGGTCGACAAGCTCTCCATCTACAATAGTACCAAAGTTGTCTGGTAGGATTTAAAAAGAAAAAACGCTGATTGATGATGTCAATAGCTAGGTATCGGTGTATACATTCAGCTTCGGATGGAAAAGATTGCAGTGGTTGAAAATTCTTTGAATAGCCATTCAGCAAAAATGAACTAATTTCTGAATAAGCAGCCAGTAATGAAGTTAAGGTGTGTGTGCAGCGCTGTTATTAAAATGCCCTGCAACATACGTTGGACTGATCGCCGGTTCGATCCTGAGTCACTAGATCACCAAGCTTTCTTTCTCTTAAGGGTCGGGAAATTCCTACCAAAGTTGCCTACAAGGATGAAAACCAACAACTATAAAGACTAGATATTAATTCGATCACCTCTAATGACATTTTACGAAGTCGAATGCATGGCGCTCCTATGAGAGAGTGAGATAAACCGAAAGCATTAGCATTGTAAGCTGTATACTCATATCAATAGCCATGTCATAGACGATGTCTAGGTGCTGAACATCACTACGTAATTGGTTCTGTTTTGTACGGTTATGACACATAACGAGCAAATCACATCATAACATGTTAGTGTCACTTTGCTTTCTGGACTTCACCATGATTTATAGGAAACTAACAAATATGGCTTTCCCTACAGGTCTGTGACTAAATTATACGAGCTGAGAAGAGCTTCTTAGAGGGATGATTTACGTGAACGTGGTTAAACCTTTCTTAGCTTTCTATTGTTGCTGGTTTCGAAGCTCAAGGCAGAACTGAGCCACTTCCCACCACACAAAGCTGGCCGATTTAGATATTGACGTTTTGTTCGGAAGGTTGGAAGGTAATTGAAAAGGAATCGTAAAGAAACGCTCATCGACAAAGGTGTCCACCGAAAATATGGTTTTTACCTAGCAAACATATGGTTTTCTCTCCATCTATAGTCGCCTTTTCGAGACTGTACGGATGTTGCCTATCACAAAATTGCTGCGCATAGTTTTCGTTCTTCGATTTAACATTGTACGTTATCCGGCACTTCCCAACGCTTTCCTAAAAAGAACGAGAACAATGTTATGGAACTTCGTCAATCTTGCTGATTGACATTCTCGCAATAGTTTCACGGCATTTGAATCTGTATGGATCAGCCAATGTCTGCCTTACACACTATTCCCGATAGTTTCCTGCGATTCGTGAACCCGTATGAGTTAAGAACAGCTGAGATTGGGACTTACCACTATTGCAAACAATCGCAAAGTGTCTGACTTAAATATTGGATATTAGGCTCATGGACCATCCATCTGCCTTGTTACCAAATGCCTCTTTTTATCAGACCAACTACTTTTTACATAATCTTTGTAACTCGAATTTGCTACATCTAACGGTCGAAATTACTTATTTAAAAAACTCCTTCCTAAATTTCTACCCTTCGAGGTCGCTTAGACAAGTAACTTAGTGGCTCTAAGAACTTCCTTAGCCACCACACATTCTTCTTGCATTATCTCTGTTAAGAATTCTGATCATTAGGTTGGTGTGGTCCTGCTTCCTGATGTAAGCTTGATATCTCACGGGGTCGTCAAGTTCTTATTAACAAGCTGTCGTTGAAACGTACCATTTTGCCGATGCAAATAAACTTCAACTTTTTTTCTGCCTTCTTAGCGTAGTCGGAACTGTATTTAATATTCATCGGATATCCATTGACAGCACGTTCCATAAGATTCAGCAGCCTTCCATGCTGCTTAGATGGCATCCATATTTTCGACAAGTACTTTTGGAATGGAACAATAGCAGAGTATAAAAGGTGGGCGCGGAGCCTTTTCGGCCTTGTTCTTCTCACAACATCTTCGAAGCTCTTGTAAACTCCTTCAAACCCCAGGCCGCTCATCTCCTTTTAATGAAATCGAGGGCGGTATTGCCCATCACTTCATGTTAACGGTCGAAATTACACAATATTTAAAGATTTTCATTGCGTTGAGCCTAAACGTGGCAATGGAAACAAACTCGTTCCTCAGGAATGCAGTTTTCCTGAAGCTCAACTGGGCATCGATTCCTCCACAAGCGCTGCCGAAGTTGGTTATCACCAATTTTTATTCCATTCAGTTTCGCATGAAATTATCTAAGGAAACTTTGCAGAGCTGATATCATCGTCCTTTCGAATCCTCGAATCGAAGACTTTTCATTAATGATAAAGCCGTTTTAAAATGTTGAAATTGTTGTTGTTAGAGTAGTTTATAGTTCATGAAGGATTTATATTGAACATAGAATACCGTAGCTGTTCAGAGCTTGCCCACGTCCATCTCAGCTGTTTCAAAGATCTTAAAATGCCAACGAAACGAGAAAAAGCTATTTCTTGTCGCAATTCTTCAGCACGTTCCAGTATGGCGGAGAATCCAATGATGGTACTGAGTCGGAACCCCGCTGACTTCCACGCTAAATTCCATAGCTGCCATCCGTACAATTTTCTCTCAATACCGACCCGAGTGGAAACTTATAGACGACACCCCGTAGCCGGTGTGGCAAATATTGACTGAGAAACATGAATTCTGCACAAAACCGAGTCTGTAGATGATCACTGGTTATAGGTTCTTCAGTTGCTCCGATCCAATCTTGTCAAGACCAGGTGCTGTACGGTTCTCTATCAACAAGGTGGCACATATTTTTGGGAGTACGACAGATTCTTGTTCTCGTTTGCTAATCTGACATTGACAGCGTTTCTGGGAGTCGTAATTAGTAACTGCTTCGTTTGCGCGCTCAATTATAGGGCACATATGCATTCAAGCACCTCTAACCATGCCTAATGAAGT